CGTAGCTATTTATTATTAGCATTGTCCTTCCGACGTCTGTTTTCTTTTTAATTATAGGAAATGCGTTTTTTTAAGGTACATAAACTTTTGGAATTGACGGTATAGCCAATACATCCTTAACCGTTGTGTCTGAGATATGAACGAAACGAAACGAAACGAACCGATGCGACTGTTCTCTGTTCGGTACGATTTATCATATTGAGAGAGGAACGCGAGACGTGCGTTAGACGAGAATTTCGGCGAGCACGTGGCGAATGCAGCGGCACGTGGGTCAGATATTCTTGAACGAGGGAGACCGATGACGTGATTCGATTTAACGAGCACGGCGCGATAGTGGCGCTTGATAGATAGATAGATAGATAGACAGGACCGTGTTCGCTAAACAGATTAAGGAATGATCCGATCAGTCCCGCCTCGACGTTACTACTTCTCTTTTGCAATTTCGCGCACGTTCGACAGAAGAGATTTTTCGGTCGACGAATCGTACGACGTTTGAGACAATGTTTCGACGCTGTTACAATATTACCGATTGAAACGACGACGTTTCGTTGGATAATCGGCACAACGTTTGATACCTGTATCGTCTGTTTACAGGATGCAAAAGCTTCTTCAAGAGGAGCGTGCGGAGGAACCTGACCTACTCGTGTCGAGGGAACAGGAACTGTCCGATCGACCAACACCATAGGAATCAGTGCCAGTTTTGTCGGTTGAAAAAGTGCCTGAAGATGGGCATGCGCCGGGAAGGTACGTACCCGAGTCTCCGATCTCGATCGCGTCGGCGCGTGCGCACGGTTCACTCGCTCCCTTTGGAACCGATCGAGAAAAATGTTACCGAGAACGCTTGTACCTACTGTACAGTACGCGGCTTAAATAGCCTCGCCGCGATCGAAGCTTAAGATCAAAGTTCACCGAGCCGGAAACCGATTCTATTTATTTGCCAGCGTATCGAACGCGGGACAAGTGCGAGCGTATTTATACCCGCGACCGTTCCCGATTCTCCTCCCTGTATCGTTCGACGTTCGTTCGTTCAGAACTCTTTTCGAATCTTTCTCCATTTCCTCTCTCGTTGTTTCATCTTCCGAACCAGTCGACGGCTCTTTTCGTACGAGACCCGATGCCGTATCAGTGATAATTCATAGCGATATTTCATAAATGTTAGGTAAACGACGATCAGTCGTGTTAACGATAATCCGGCGGGGGGGGAGAGGCGTTGGGGGCTTGGTAATGGCGTGAGGCGCGTTCACCGGTAAAAGCGTCTGACCGAGCGAAACCGATAAAGGTTCACAGAGCCAGTAAGAGTATCTGAGTCGTAGATGTCGAGACACGGAGTGCTCGATTAAAATAACTTTATCTATGCGCACCGCTGGAAGTGTCCGAGGTACGTAAGAACCATTATTTATACACCGGAACGAAACGTTAGATTTTCTGTCGATCGAGGTGTGAGAGAGAGAGAGAGAGAGAGAGAGAGAGAGAGAGCGATAAAAGATGGGAAACGGCATGCACGCCATGCTGCCCCGAGTCGGTCGCGATCACGAAAACCCCGGAAAGGTTCCCACGCCTCTCCCGTTCTTTCGAGATTCTTCCTCCTCGTTTTTTCTCTCTGGGCCAAGCTCGGCCGCGCGATAATATCTGACCTTGTTCGGGCACGCACGAAGAGGAGGAGCTGGACACGGGACCAGGTGTACCCGTTTCCGTGGTCTCGCGGCCCTCCTCGCGGTGATTTGAACGCCGCGTCGCGTCGTAGTCGCGTCGATTTTCCGCCTCGGTCGTCGTCGTAGCTTCGGCCCGAACTCGGGTAATTATCCCACGTTTCCACGCGGTTATTCTCCCCACCCCGCCCCCACCGGCCCCCCTCGATTCGCGTTCCAGCGATCCCGGCTCCTCTCGCCGACAGATATCATCTGACCTTGTTCAAGGCGTACGTGAGCGAGACGGTCATCGACACGAACGGTCAGGGAGCGCAGCCCGAAACCAACGACGACACGGATCTAGGATACACACCGTGACCGAATTAAACGATACTCTTGTTCCTTCGATGAATACGAAGTCTTCGGGATCCGAAGTCGCCGTCGATCGTTTCGTTCTATTAATAACTGCGCGTGGTGATATCGGCAAGGCCAGAACACCCTTCGTTCTGATAAATCAACTCACTTCGCGTCTGAATTAAATTCAACGATTCATACAGAGCGACGTATAAAGTACTCGCTCCTGACATTTTGTACACTACTTACGTGTTAGACTGCGCACGCGTCTGCAGAAAATTCGAGTGTGTAACGCGAAGATGCGTTTAGAACGTCACACTGCCGACTGTACGGTTAAATTTAATTGCCTCGAACGTTTTGTTTTGCACAAAGAATCCCCATTGTAACCCCTGTTCACCGTCAAATCCGCGTCCCAACGAACGAACGTAGAGGAACGAAACTCCGAGGGGTTTCCAGTTTTCATATTTAATTCCGTTCTCGCAAACGTGGAAAGAGTAATCGCGAGGTAGGAGTCGCCGGGGCCAGGAGTGGCTGGCTTTGTCGCGCATTTTTTTCCCACGAGAAAACGAGCCGAGTCTTCTGCCCTGTCGCAGCGACGTCCGCTCATTATCCGAGATGATGCCTCGGCTTTTGATAATAATTCGAAACGTTCGCTTGCAGGGCACGCAACCTGCTCGCACGATCCGCGCTCCTCGTTCCTTCTGGCCTCGCGAGCCCTTCCCGGGAGGGAAACCCGGGGAGACCGCGGGAAGAGAGAGAAAAAGAGAGAGAGAGAGAGAGAGAGAGAGAGAGAGATAGAGTAGTAAGGAGATTAAAAACAAGGTTTAGGAGATTGCTCGATCCTCTCGGCTCGAGAGTTTCAACTTCGTCACGAGAAACTCGGCTCGGCTGTTTTACATGAATGACCATGGATCGTAGTTTCGCGTGCACGTAACTTTTGCAAGTGAAACGTTTCATTCGACGCGTTTGAAACCATTTGCTTTACGAGCAGTTCTCTGTATGATTGAGCAACGACGTACAGAATCTTGCCTGTTGCCATTTTTCGAAGAGTCGAGCTTTTTAAAAAATTCGTTCCCGTTCTTCGGATATCTGTGAACTAATTCTCGTCGAGGAAATCGCCAGGCTTTTTAAGGAGTAGGAGTAGTAAAGTTTCAGGACCGTCAAAGACCGTTTGCTGCAAACGGTTCAGAGAAGTTTTGTCGTGTAGACACAGTTTTACGCACGACGAGCCATAAAGGATCATCGTCGTCGTCGTCGTCTAAAATGACTCGAGTGTTGAGAAGAGTTTCGCTCAATTCTGCCACACACGGTCGACTCCGTTAAATAGAAAATTCATACACGTCTTCCGATCGGATTGTCGAAGAGTCAGACCGTCTGTGGTTCGGTCGTACAGAAATAGTTTCGCACAGGATGAGTCACTGATTGTGAGAATCATAAGTGAGCGAATCGTTGACGGAGCAACGTGCGTGAAACGAGGTTTGATGAAAAGTTCGTATGCACGTTTGAACGAATCGAGAGAGGAATCGGACGTTTCGCATGAAACCTCGGGCACCTTCCCCCGTTTTACTTTAGCAGCGAAGTGAGCGAGAGCTCGAGGCAAGGCGGTTCGTGGCGAGACACGGTGAAGGTACACGGGGCCTAGAAGAGAGGTTCAACGGCGGGGAAGGGTGTAAAGGGGAATCGGCGGAGGTCGGGGTCCGGGGCCGGAGGGGAGTCGGTGGTCCGAGGTCAGCGGGGTGCATGACCTTACCTCGGGGGCCCCTTCCTTCCGTGGGGCCCCCGAGGCAGACAGGATGCGCTCAAGATTACCCCGCAGATACTGTCCGCGATGATTACAGAAATCTAGGAAGCCGCTCAATTTAATTAACCCTTAATTGCGACTGCCCGAGAAATAACCTACGTTTAACGCGACCGTCTACCCCTCTCGCTCCGTCGTCGTTGTCGTCGTCGTCGTCGTCGTCGTCGTCGTCGAAACCTCGAAAACAGCCGCGCGTGTGTCACGGGAAATTCTTCACGCTCCTCTAGATTCTCGTCCCGATCTCGTGGCCGTCCATCTCGATTCGTTCGTTCGGATCTACGAATTCGCAAATCTCTCTGTGCAAAATGTACGTACGTACGTCACCACTCATGGACAAGAAGTGATTTTATGTTCGAACAAACGATCAGATCCGTTTCAGTTTCAACGTTCCCCGCGTAGATCTGTCGTGTCGCTGTGTACGCGTTACGTCTTTATCAGATAGTTCTGCGAACGCGTTCTTGCGGGAACGATCCTTGAACTCGCGAGAGGAACTTGGCGGTGGATAAAAATAGTAACTGTACACCGAGCACGTGTAATTATCCCGTCCTAAAAGTTTAATAGAATCTTGGCGAGCAAATAACACGGTTGGCTGTCCCGGAAAAGTACGAAGCGAAGTAAAATACCGATCGTGGATGACGCGAGGATACCGGCGATCCAGCCGATCGATTAAACGGCGAGGGTAATTGCGCGCAACGATCCCGGGGTATCGGTGCTATTAGGAAATTCTCGATACAGCCCGACGTATCTGCTCGATGCTGCCGCTCGGAGTACGTACATGTCCGTTCAGAAGTACCGTCCTTTCTCGTTCGGCAGCGGCGAACCTCACGAAATTTACCTGATCGGTAAACGTTTCGTACGGGAGATGATCAGTCTCGGGCGTTAAACAAATTACATCGAGCGTCTGTGAAATACGTCGCTAGATCTCGGACTCAGTACGATTACAAGAATGTTTCATTTCCTAAATTGAACGCGTGATTCGGATCGGGCGTCTCACGTATCCGTTGGATCGCGCGTTGTACGCGTGTGTCGTCATTATACTTGTGAACGGGGGTGTACACGGCGAGAGACAGAGAGTAGGTAGAGTGGCGGGTTTCACTTATCTCGAGGCACGCGGCGATGCAACCACGATGCCCATTACGGCCGCATTAACTGAAATTAGACATTGTTTCCCTTGGAACGATGCAACAATGGACCAAAACTCGGACTGGGATCGGGTCTACGTAGTAAGGAAGGTTCGATGGCGAGCGAGATGGAAAAAATTAGGCGATCCTACCGAGGGAGAGATTCCGAAGCGAAGCAGTCTACTCTTTTATCTCTCAGCGTTTCTTTTCGGTCTCGTACTCTCTTTTCGGCCTTCCTCGCTCTCCTCCTCCTCTCTCTCTCTCTCTCTCTCTCTCTCTGTTCTGGGCGTCTACCTTTATCCCCGGTGCGCCGCGACAGAGGAGATTGCCGATATTACGGCGGGGTCAAGATCGTGACTTTAATCAATTAGCGAGGTTTCTCGAACCCGGGAAATGATTAGTAATCCGGTCGATTCTCGATCCCCTGCTCGCGCGTCTCCCCGAAGGCTCGACGAACCTGGTCCTCGGGGAATCCGATGGAAAGACTGTCGGTCATCCTATAGTCTGATAAACGTCTGTCCATACTTCTTCTTCTTCTTCTTCTTCTTCTTCGAACAGAAAAATGTCTCGAGGGTTCGTTACAAACGGATTTCGGACACCGAATCGACGCACTTCCATCATGGCTCTCTCTCATTGTTTAGCGTCGATCGCGTCTGCACGATCTGTTCTCATCGGGATCTCCGGGAAAACGCGTACTGCTCGTACGAAACTCCCATATCGTCTGTAAGAGGCACGAAACGATCGACGCGATCGAAACGCTGCTGTCGCACGCGAACGGGACACAGACGGAATATTACGAAAGTGTCCGCGGCGGTAACGGGCGGGGACGGGTGCGAACCGAAA